TGTAAAGATAATTAATTTTAAAAGACTTAGGATCTCTGGTCATCAACACAATGACCAACAAAAATTCCAAAGGACTTGTGATGGAACATGCAGCCTACCTCCTGATGGAGAGCTGATGGGCTCAGGAGCGCATATTATATTTTATTTTCTCTCCTTTCTTCTTTGTTTGGATATGGCTGATACAGAAAATGGTTTTGCATGACTATATGTATTTGCAATAGGTTTTGTTTTTATTACCTTCTCAATGAGTGGGGGAGGGAAAGGAAGAGAATGATGCCTTCCTATTCCTGTTTAATTTTCTAGCTTTTCCTAGCTGTTACAAGTTTAGATTCTGTTCCTTTCGATGAGAATTCAGGCACTATTAACTCTAAACAGTATTCAAGCTGAGACAAGGAAATCAATGAGGAAGCTAATGCAATAGTCCGGCTAAGAGGTGATAAAGGCCTGAATTGAGATAAGGGCTGTGTGAGTGGAGAGAAGGGGACATATACAAGGGATGTTACAGGGAAAGAAATGAGAAATGACAACGTTTGGCAACCGGAGATGTGGGATGAAAGACAGAGAAGCTCAGTAGACAAGGTGTATATTTTTTAAATTGCTGTAAGGAAAAGCTGAGTTTTTAATCACACATTTTACAAAAGGAAGAAAAAGGAGCCTGACCACCCTACCCTAGAGTCTAACATTAGAGAAGATTGTAAACATGTTCTCTCCTACAACTTGGTACTGCAGGGAGCGATGATTTTGAAGCAATAATTAGCAGCCCTTCTGAGTCAATACTGAATCGACCCATGTCAAAAGAGCCTCCTGGGGTGACATCTGCAGGCGTTGGCCGACCCATGGACTCCCAAGAGTATCTGTTCCTTGGCGATTCTCATCATTGCGAGTTCCAGGACTGCTTAAAGGAACTAGGAGAAGTAGCCACAGGGTGGTGATTGGCTTTCTGATGCCTTAACTACATACATCCATTACTGGTGGCTACGTTCAGGATTCACATAAGAGGGATGGTATAAATGCCCTGGCTAGGTCTTATCAGGGATGTTGTGGCCAGTACTCAGTGCGAATGTTAGGGTGGACCCTGAGAAGATGGAGTGTGTCCAGCGAAAAGTGAGTAGCGTGCTGAGGGAACTTGGGACACTTGGCCAGATTAGATGGGACGGAAGTATGGGGTGTAGTGGGAACACCATTGCTGTCTGAGTATTCCACAGAATCATAAAAATCTCAGGTTTGGAAAGGACCTCAGAAGCCATCAAATACAAGAATCATCGCTACAATCCTCCCAATAAATCTGGGGAAGAGAATGTGAAGGGCTGCTATATGGAAGCAGGATTCAATTTGTTTTATTTGCCCCGGAGGGCAATGGGCTAGTTGCAGGGTCAGAGACTCTCGGACTGGGCAATTCACCCTCATCACATTTATCAGAACCTTTTAATGGCATAAAAAATAAAATGTAATATCACTATACCTTAAAGTGACAAATAGAACCACAAAGCCAAAGCTAGCAAGGCTGTGGTGAACCTGTTAGCGTCACTCCAACAGTACCGACCACAACCCATCTGTGTCTCCTCAGGCAAGGCTCACTTTCATCCATGTCCTAAGTCCTCCACAAAGGGCCACTCTTCCAGGTCTCCTGCTACTGTGTTTGTGAGCTCTGCTGCTCAGTCACGCAGATGGGCTGTCCATCAATTATCTCTCACTCTTGCTAAATGACCAGCCTGTCTCCTGCTCATGCCTTTCTTTGATCCTATCTTTTATACTGCTTCTCCTGCAGAATTCTTTGCTGATGATATGCTGTGGCCTGCTCACACCCACCATGGCCTTTCCATGACCTACAGTTTGAAGTCTTTGGGGACCAGTATTCAGGCCACATTTTGCAGCCAGCCCATCACTAGATTATTGCGTCTTGGTTTCAAGAAGATGAATGTCAGTCAAAGCCCTGTTCAGTTTCCCAAATGTATAATAACATTATTATATTAACATAATAGCTAGCATTTATATAGCATTTACTGTGTGTCCAGCACTGTGCTAAAAGCCCAATAGACATGTACTAATGATGGACTAGCTGTATGGGCTGATCATCCAAAAACTTATCTTGGTCTGCATTCAAAAATTATTTTTACAAACATTTATTATCTCCCCCCTGCCCCCAGCAAGAGAGCAGGTGATGGCAGTCATCTGCAGTCATCTGTTTGCCTCAGTTTCCTCTACTGTAAAGTAGGGATAATAATAGCACCTACCCTGTAGGGTGGTGAGGAACAAATGAGATGATACTTGTAAAGAGACTAGAACAGTGCCTGGCACATAGTAGGTGTGTAATAAATTCTTATTCTCGTGCCCCCCCTCCCCCAACAAATATCCATAGTCCATCTTGACCACATCCAAAAGTTGTCTCATTTTGGATTTTAAATCCATCACTTTCCTGGCTAGTGGTAAATCCTCTGGACTTGGGGGTTAACACTCTACATAATATTCCACGACAGACACTGCGGTCACACAATTGACTTTTAAAAGTACAGGGAATAAAAGTCCTTCTGTGCTTACTGGTTGTTGATTATTTAAAAAACAAACAAAAAACTCAACTAAGCAGAGATAAATGCCACTTTTTTTTTTGGTTAGGCAATGGGGTTAAGTGATTTGCCCACGGTCACACAGCTAATAAGTGTTATTTGTCTGAGGCCACATTTGAACTCAGATCCTCCTGAGTCCAGGAGGGTCCACTATGCACTGTACCACCTAGCTGCCCCTAAATGCTACTCTGGAAGAGTGCTCCTTTGACAAGTCTTCCCTATGTGTAAAAATTATACAAGAAATTTAATTAAAATATGTAACATATATTAAAAATATACAATTATATTCCTTGGGAAAGCCAGTAACTTTGTTCTACAACCACTTGACTATAAAGTGAGCTATAAACTAGGGAGATGAATGCTTCCTAAGTGTTTGCTACCATTGTAGAAGATGTCCAAATGACAGCTATAGCTGTCCTAAGAACCCCTACTGATCAGTTCTTGGGCTGCAGGGAGGAGAGGCAGGGATGTGAACTTAAAAAAATTAATAACTATTTTGGTATAAAGGGTTTCCCTCATAATCTTACATGTTTTGTTTTATACATTTAAAAGCATTACTTTGAGAAAGAATCCATAGGCTTCGCCACACTGCCCAAGGGGTTCAGGGCAGGGTGGAGAAGGGAATAAAGAAGATTTTAAAATTTTATTTACATGCCTAAAAAGAGAATCATTCCTCTTATGCCGGACTACAAACCTCAGCTTAGATCACAGGGTTGCAGACTAGTTTTCTGGACAAGTAGCAGAACAATTTAGATTGGATTTGGGGAAAAACAAACATTAGTTTGGGATGTGACAACTCTTTGAAATTCTGTTCTCCAAAAGAGCTATCTCCAAGGACTTTCCTGCCAGCTCTTAGGGGACAAACATTCAAAGGATTAATTTTCTTTCTTCTCTATACATTCACTTTCACTTCCCTTCTCTACTCTATTCTCTCCAAGGTTTTGTCTCCACTTAGAGCAGATACTACTTCAATGAACAGCTTCACTTACATCAGAAACTGCTGTATATCACAAAGTGGTTTTAGATTTAGTACAAGGTATCAATATTGAGGGCATTTTATAAATGTTTGATAACAATAAATTATTTATAAAATTCTGTGACATTAGCAAAACCCCTCTAATTTCTACTTCCTTATTGATAATCTTTCATTTTTGAGTAAGGATGCCTCCAAATTTCAAAGCTCAATACTTTTTTTTCAACGTGGGCATTCCTACCACGGATACCAATTATAACCTATATATGACAGCAGACAATTTTTAAGAGTTGCTGTGGCCAAAAAAGTGTGTGTGTGTGTGTGTGTGTGTGTGTGTGTGTGTGTGTGTGTGTGTAAAAACCTTACATCAACCTGGTAATGAGTCTCAGAAATCAGCTAGGCTGGTCCTTGAACAACAGACTCACAGGCTCTGTATTTACTCATGGTGCAGTAGGAAACTAGCTTCGGTCTATCAGACATGTGAAATGGGCTAGGCAGGGTGAGGAACTAAATTTCAGGAGAATATGGACTCGGAAATTTCTCAGGAATAAAATATTCCCTTTAATTCAGTAGAGAAGGTGTGAGATGGGGGTGGGGTCGTAGAGGAGCAAAGATACTATTTGCATGAAATGAATCCAAACGTTGTTCTAAGTGTTAACAGAATTCTTGGTGTGGTAATATAGACCATGTCATAATTTGGTCCCCATTTCAGCCCCTTTCTTTTTGTCCTTTATTTTGGGGGGGGGTGAGGCAATAGGCATTACGTGACTTGCCCAGGGTCACACAGCTAGTAAGTGTGAAGTGTCTAAGTCCAGATTTGAACTTAGATCCTCCTGACTCCAAGGCTGAATGAAGCTCTATCCAACTGTACCACCTACCTGCCCCATAGCCACTTTTTTCACCAAAAGCTTTCAATCCAACCTGAAGAGAACTGAGGGAAATGATGTGGGAGGAGGGGGTAGAGAACAGTTTAGTATTCAAATTCAAGATAAGTAATGGAAAAACACAATTTGTTTTACAAAAATGTACAATGATGCTGAAATGCACGTATTCCATGCAGGGGTAAGAGATAACTTTTTCCAGCTAGTCACTGAAAATTTAATCAAGTCTTTTAAAGTCCTTTGTTTTATAACAAAATATTTCATTGTTCAAGCATCTAAACTTATGCTTTACTCTCATCAGCCAATGTTTATGTAAAAAATATGCTTGCTAGTGAATCGGTGTATTTTGCTTCTGAGAAAGAATGCTATAAAGGAGAAAGGCAAGCTTGCTGTAAACAGGCTCCATGTTTCACAAAAGCCAAGCAACAACTAATTATTTCCCAAATGTTGTATTTTATTTAGCCAACAGGGTTCAGAAATGTGTGAACAGGAAAGCGAGAGGCTGAGCAGCAGCTACACGTGCATACAGCTGTCTTCAGTCTTTCGGGCAACTGCCACTGCAGTCACATCATCAAGCAGGGAGACATTTTTCTAAGCCGTCCTTTAATTTCAACATAACTTAATGAAAAGCAATGGGTACACATACACAATCCTTGAGAACAACTACATTTCAAATGATGTTACACTGCTTTTCACACTTCAAAAAAAAAATTAAATATTAGCAATTTCTAAGGGACTGTTAAGTTATTAATCAAGAAAGCTTTTTGCTCTAATCTTTAAGCACAAGCGGGCCCTTTACTTGATCTGCTACTTGTTTTCCCATGAGTGCCTCAATAATCGCAAGGCCAAACTCAAAGCTGGTTCCAGGACCACGGCTCGTAAGAAGGGTGCCATCCTTTTCCACACGATTCTCTGAGTAGGTATAATGATCTTTAAATGGAAAATAAAGACAGGACACAGGGTGGTAAGTTGGATCACTCAGAACGCCACAGCTAACAGGGAGTGCCAGCCTGCTCTATTCTTTGTTCTAGGAGGGATGGTTCTTAACAAATACTGAACAAAAAACCCTGTGTCAGCCAAGATCATTTGCTTAACACCTATAGCCTGAAGAAGACTAAGTACTGTGGGAAGAGAGTGAAGAAAAGAGGAGATACAGATTAGGGGATGGGAAGAGATATATAACTCAGAAAGAAACATAACCAAAGACTCGCCCCCAAAGCACTGCTAATCATTAATGACGAAATGAACTCTAAAACAGCCAATTAAATCCAATGACTACATCACTAAGGCCTCCTGTGTGCAGGGGACTGTGATGGGCACTAATCCTTGCACCCAAGGAGCACACACTCTACTGGGGATTCAACTTGGGTGCAAGATAAGTTAAAAAAACCCAAGTAATTTGAGGAAGGGGAGAACACCAGTAAATATTATGAGGAGTAGGGACTCTCAGAGTTGACCTAGAAAGGACTATGAAATGTTCTAAGAAGAAGAGATAAGGAAGGAGATGCCACTGGAGAGGAAAATACCTGGAGGCAAGATACGGCATGTTGATTTGGGGCCCAGCTTTGGTTGGAACTTAAGTGTGTGAATGTAAATATATGAAATTGGGCTGGAAAGGTAGTCTGAAGCCAAATTGTAGAGGGCCTTTCAAGGCCAAACTGAAGAGGTTCTATTTTACTTTGCAGGCAACAGGGAGACACTGCAGGGTTTTGAACAGGGAATAGATTCCAGCAGCCAGCAGGATGGGCAGGAAGGATCAGCGAGGGAAGAGGTGGGAAGCAGGAACTAACAAAGCCGTTGTCCTTTTAGCACATTTCTCACCTCTGTGGATAAGGGCTCATTCTGTTCTCTGCCTGGAATGCCCTTCTGCCATCATCTTTCAAAACCCAAACCAAATGCCACCCCCTCCTTGAAGCTTTCCCTGTTTCCCACTTACAGGAGATGATTTCTTCCTTCTCTAACTTAAGGCCACACTCTGTACCTTTTCCTGCATTTCTCCTCATACTCCTCTCACTGTTGCTGGGCACTCGTCTTCTCTGCCCTATGGAACTGTAAGTGCCACAAAATCAGAGGTTTCTCACTTGGACTCTCCACAGGGCCTACCATGAGTGCCTTGCACAGGAATGCACAATTAATGTTTGTTCAATGTGTTTAATTACCTACACTATGTTCTTAATAGTACTGACCTGTCTCAAAATGGTGTAGCTTTAAAAAAAAATTATAATAATCATTCTTTCCCACTATTGATTAAAGTGCAAATTGGCTAAGATCAAATTTTAATCCCCACATTTGATTCCTGGACAGGGCAGACCTGCCTCCCAAATGGGACCACAGACTCTTTGAAGTGTTTGTCATAGGAGATGGCTGGGATAGGGAGGAGCTGGGAGGTAAAAACCATATATACTAGAAAACTTCAGCAAGCCCCCTTCCCCAAAATAAACATTTTAGAAAACATCAACTACTGCAGGACTATCTCCTAGAGTACTGGTGTCTTTGGTGTTGCTTCTTTTTTTGAACTCCCTAATCAGTCTTTCCTCAGAAATGCAGATCGCACTCAAGTGCCTACTGTGTGAGCCAACAGCAGCTGAGAAGCTCACCACCTGACGACAGGAAACCCCGGCACCCAGGCTAAGATGGAGGCCTTAGGATTGTGGAGGACTGGGGCGAGCTTCCTGGAGACAGACAGCCAAAGGAAGCCAAGGAATCCAGGAAGCAGAGAGGAGGAGGGGGCGCATCCAGGCGGGGTGCAGGGAGGTGGAGGGCGTGTGTGAGGAGCAGCCAGGAGGCCAGAGTCACTGGAAAGGCAGGAAGGGGCCACGGTACGGAGACTTTAAGAGTCAACCACAGGATTGTACATTTGATCCTAGGGCCACTGGAGTTGAATAACTTTATGTGAATTTAGATAAATAAGCATTCTCATGTGCCACCCTCCCAAACATTTGACCAGAACTAAAGTTATTCATTATACATTAGGTTTAAAGAACCTCAGAAACAAAATATAAGTTTTATGTTCCTCAACTTTGTCAAAACAGAATTAACTGTAAACAAAAGTTATTTCTCATTATCTTAACGTAAAAACACTCATTAAAATAATAAAGTTCAAAATTTCCAGAGCAACATGGAATACCTTAAAACTCATTCTTGGAAGTAAAAGTAATAAACTACTTAAGAATAAAAACTGTATTAGTAATTTTTCAATTTCCTCAGTGACATTCTTTTAGCAACACAGGAAAACAAAGAGTTGGATATGGAGAACTAGAAATCGGCTCCTGGAGCTGTGAGTTTGCTCTGTTGACATAACCCCAAAACCCTGATGCAGGCAAGAGAAGCTATCATTTTGTTAGATGCAATTTACTAACTACTCAAGCCTAAAAAACCCCCCTCGATACTAAACAATCAAGCTTCAACTGCTCATTAAAAAAAAAAACCCATAATTTTTTAGACATTTACTGTTTTAAGACCAAGTTTTAGGACTAATTTGGCATGCATGTGATTAGTAATATTAGGTATAAATTAAAGGCATGCTAAATTCTATTTTTCTAGAGTCAACATGGGTAATAAGAAACTTGACTTTAAAATTAAAACAAAAAAAAATTTAAACCTTGGTTTTAAAATTAAAACCAAATTCCCTATTAACTACTATCTAGTGGTGAGTCTGGAGAAACAGAATTTAGCATGTATTTGTTTAATCCCTAATTTGACTAATCACATACATGCCAAATTAGTTCAGATCATTATAAATTTGGGGCAACTATGATACACCTTCCTCCACAAAAGTCCTCCTCCGATGCCTTCTAAGGCGTGGCCTGGAGGAGACCCTGGTTCTTAAAGGCTGTGCCAGGATAGCCCAGGCTCCGGCAGGTTCTGCCAGGCCTGGAGCACAAGTACAAGCTGGTGACAAAGCCCAGGCCTACAGTCTGAGGCCCAGTCTCACTAAGTCTGGAGAGGGAGCTTCCATACAGTGGGCCACAGAGTGACCAAATTTTTAACCAAAGCAATTCTCAGAGACATAAAAGGACTGTAGCCTGCATTCAGGCAGGGGGCTCCCAGGCTAATAAAGTAACAAATCATTAAAATCCTTCTTGACAGCATTTCTCTATTTTATACCCTGACATAATTTTGTAAGGAATCCAACACTGCAACTGCTGTTGCAGCTCTTACTAAGAACTAATCCAAGGAACTGATATTAACGGAATACAGATCGAAGCATGCTATTTTTCACTTTCTTTCAATTTTTTTCTTTTATTCAAGTCATCTTGTACAAAATGACTAATATGGAAATGTTTTACATAATTGCATATGTATAACCATTATCTTGACAGCTTACCATCTCAGAAGGGGAGGGTAGGATAGAGTTTGGAACTTAAAACTATAACTGGGGAAAAAAAAAACTAATTCAAGGATCCTATCCCAAGGATGTTATCAAATGAACACTGCTGAGCACTGTCCCCCACTCCACCATTTTTGGTGGAGCAAATTTTTGGAAAAGGATACAAAGAAAACAAAGTGTCATAATTCTTAAAGTGTCTATGACTATTTTTCAGTTATTATTTTGGAGGAGGGGGTTTAGTCCATGTGCAATTTTTTTTTATTGACAGTGATTAAGTTAATAATAAAATATTTTTAAAAAATTAAAACTCATTAAGATTAAAGATTAAACTCATGACTTTAAAAACTTAAAAACTTTAAAATTCTCCCTTTAACAAACTGTAGTTGTAATAGCAGAGAAGAAATTAATCTTGCAACCATGGGAAGTGGGGAGAAGGAGAGACTCCATTTTTAAGGTATATTCTGATTTGATCACTATACTTCCTCTCCTAAGGGCAAATAATGTTTACAAAACAGGCTTGAGCCACAGGCATAAATTCCATCCAAATCCCCCGAATTTCAAAGGGCCTACTAAAGAAGACTGGTTTCTGAGAGAGATCCATTTATCTGCAATTTAACTAATGAATGATAAGGTGGCCTTTTCTGAATTTTTTTTGGGGGTTACAGAATTTAAACTTGAATATTCAAGTAGCTAAAACTCTAAGCCAATATTGCCCAGCTATTTTTAGTCTGCAACATAGCTGTAAATTTGTTAAAACCAACTACAGGAAAGCATCCTGTCATATTTCCACCCACGTCTCAGCCACCCCCTTTCACCTTCCATTTTACTACAGAAACACTCCATCCCTTACCCACATACTATAACCTGTACAGCCTTCAAAAAAAAAGAAAAATTAACAAAGGTGAAAGAAGAAAGTTCAGCCATTTCTGAACAGGAGGAACTCCCAGAGAATACTCATTGCTTAAGATCCTGGTTGGATACACTCCATTATGAATTTGTGAGAAGGCATTTTGTGCACTAAATCTACAATCGTACTTACTTCCATTCATCATCTTGTCTTTGGCCAGTGGGTGGGTTGTAACTTTGCTTCCAAAACTTATTTCATGAGCCAAGAGAGCTGTCGGTCCTATAAAACAGATACGTTTTTAAAAGGATTACTAAGCACAGGTGCTGAACTACCATTTTTGAAACTGCAGCATCAAGACTCCAAACAAAACAAAACAGCCAGAGGCCCAGATCAAGAATTCTGAACATAACAAGTTTTGATTCTAGAGGGACTGGGCAAGATGACAAAAGATGAAAATGGCCCATGTTGGACTAGTTGTGGGAAGATGGACAGACTAATGCACTGTAGGCAAAGCTGGGACCTGATGTAACCATCCTAGAAGATAATTTAGAAGTGTACCAGTGAAGTCACTATGCTGCACTGCCACTTGTACATGCACAAAAATAGTCACAGCAGCATTTTTTTTGTTGTCTGCTAAGAACTAGAAACCACGCAGGTGCTTCTTCATTTGGGAAATAGTTCAATGTAATATTTATTGAGCTGTAAGAAATGACACATGATGAATTAAGAGAAACTGGAAGACGTAGGAACTGATACAGAGCACAATGAGCAATAATCAAAAAAGTATTTACACAGTGATCACAATAATGAAAAGGAAAACAAGTCTGAAAGACATCAGAACAACTCTGATCACCAGAGCCCAATCAGACTTCAGAAGACTGAAGTGGAAACAGCTCTTGGGCAAACAGGTGAGGGACTTAAGGTGCAACATGAGACAAGGTCAACATGTTGATTTATTTTGTTTCAGTACACTTGTTACAATGGAGGGAGAGACAGGGATGCTAATTAGTGAACAGTGATAGAGATGCCCCCCAAAAGGGAAAAAAGGACATCAACAAAATTTTTTAAATGCACAGAAAAAAAAAAGTTCAGAAAGAGACACAAGGGAGACAGTCATTACTATTACTCCATGTTATATTTAATATATACTTTTAAAAAATTCAAAACTATTTACAGTTCATAGTTTTGTATATAATCCTTTTTTGGGTATAAATGTGAATGCTTGCTGGTGATTAAGTTTACGGTAAGAAGAAAAAAAATAAAGAATTTCAGAGCCTAAAACATAGTGTCCTAAGTTACTTTTAAAATTTAAAAGGAGAAAAACCATGTATTTCTTAGGATGAGATACAGACAAGTTTTTTAAGTAAATCAGGCAGTAAGATTTATAGCTAATATTTTAATCTATATCAACATTACAGTAACTAATATTTTTATACAAACACATACATCTATAAACACTTCAAAGTTTGCAAAGCACTTTACATATATAATCTTACTTGATCTTCACAAGCACCCTATGAAATAGGTGTCACTATTATTCTCCTTTCAGAGAGGAGGAAACCTAGACTAAAAGAGTTGGTTCAGAGACTTGCACAGCTAATCAGTGTGTGGGAGATAGGATTCAAACTCAGGCCTTTCCGACTTGCCTCCGAATCCAGCACTCTACCCACTACACCATCTAACAAAAACATAATACATATAATGATTAAAATATTGACTAAGCACCTGATTTAGATGAAGACAAGCCTATCAATTTTTTAGCTATCTGTATGACAAGATGGAACAAATTTAATACGATCAAACTGATTTTAATGGATTCATTATCTCAATGTGGCTACTTTGTCTATATTAGAAACAGATTCACCATCCATCCTTTTCCCATCCTCATGTCCGCCGGGAGCCCTCCCCAGAGGACCCATTAATGCTCTAGTGGTCCTCCTCCAAACTTTGACCATTTCTTGGGTGCCAGAATGCAACATTCAAGTTGGTCAGGTGTTATCCGTCTCCCAGTCTCGATATGTGACCTCCTTTTCTGAGTACATACTTAAATTTTTTTTTAATTCAGAACTTAAAACACCAAAGAGCATTTCCATATATACAGCAAAACAAAAAAGTATGAAACGACAAATCTGCATTTCATACTGCTTTTTTTTAAACAAATACACATTACTTTCAAAACTGTCCTGTCTGTTTCCTTCTGTTCTCTTATAGACATTTTAAAAATGTTTAAATGGTTCTTTTGGGGGGGGGGAGGAATCATTACTGCCAACAATCTACACACAATTTTAAAAAGAGAGACAAAGAAAATCTTCTAACAATTAAGCATGGCCAAGCAAAATGCATCCACAGAATGACCATGTCCAAAAATGTACGTCTCTTTGTGGAACTCCAGTCCACCACCTCTCTGTCAGGAAGTAGATAACATGCTGCAGTAAAAGTCCTCTTGACAATCTGGTTGTCCTTGTACACATCTTTCTATCCTCCTGGTTGTGATGCCTTCCCTTGGTATCAGTTCATATTCAGGATTCTCTGAAACTGTCTCTTTCATCATTTCTTACACAGCAATAATATTCCATTACAGTCACATACAATTTGTTCCTTATTCCCAAATGAGTCAACCCTCCTTTGTCCATTCCAGATGATGGTGAGGTTTATTTGAAGACCACTTCCCCACCCCTTCCGTCATGTTTTTATATGCTTCTGGTATAAACCCTGATTATGAGGAGTCAGTTTCACCCCCTTCTCTCTCCTTTCTACCCTAGTGTATTTCTCCTTTTATCTTCCCTTCTCTTTCCCCTTTTACAAAATGCTCAGAATAGAACCCCAAAGACCTGTTTTCCCCTCCATACGTTGCAGATTTTAGGAGTCCTAAAGAGAAACTTGTTTCTTTTCCCCTGTTAGAATGTTAGCACAAGAAAATCGTACAACTTCTTCCAATTCTCAAAGAAATTTACCTTTCCAGGTTTCTCTGGAGCTCTGTGTGCATGTCAACGCTCTTGCTCAGCAGAGTTCTGTTCATCACAAATGCTTGAAAACCGTCTGTCGTTCAAGGTCCATTTCTTCCCCTTCTGAAGGAAGCAGCTTTGCCAGGCAAGTTGTTCTTGGTTATCAGCCTGTATCTTTTGGCTTCTGGAACACCACATTTCAAGCTGACCACCTTTTTTAGTAGAAGCTTCTAGATTTTGTGCGATTCTGACTCTGGTTGGTCCCGACTGTAGTACTTGGATTTGCTCCTTTCTGGATGCCTGAATTCTTTTGATGCGGGAGCTCTGGATTTTGGCTTTGACCTTCCTGGGACTTTTTCTTTGGAGTTTCTTTCAGGAAGTGATAGTAGATTCTTTGTATCTTCACTCTGCCCTCTAGTTCTAATAGATCTGGGAAGTTTTCATTTATGATGTCTTGAAATTCATGTCCAAGTTTTTGTTTTCAGGGAGGTCAATGATTCTTAAATTAATTCTCCCTGACCTGTTTTCAAGGCGAATTGTTTTTGATATAAAATATCTTATGTTTCTTCTATTTTTTTCAATCTTTTGATTTTGTTCTAATATTTCTTGCTGTCTCATGAAGTCATTAATTTCTCTTTGGTAGACTCAATTTTTCAGCAAATGTGCTATTTGGATAAGGGTCACTTTCTCTTCTAAGTTACTTATTCTCCTGTTTCTTTCCTCAAAAGCTTTGATTTGATTTTTTAATTTCTTGCTTCATTTCTTCCAGGTATTCATGTAGGCCTTGTGGAAAATTCATTTTCTCCCTGCTTGCAATTAAGGAATTACTCCCTTCTTTTTTTTTTTTTCCTTGAGAGATCTTGAGATCTGCAATACATTTTTATGATGGTTGGTGTTTTCTTTAGTTTAGCTCTTCAGCTTTAGTTTCTGAATTGAGACTTTCACTGCCTTTTGAGGGGAGAGCTCAGCCCTGCTTGGTATCACCGTGGGTCACTTGGGTCCCTGTGACGATGTCCACCACCCTAGGGTGAGCTTCCACCCTAGACCTTTGACATTCAGAGCACTGATCTTTAGGGCCCTCTCTGGCATCTTGGGAAAGTGCACTGAGGACCCTGAAGCCTCGTCTTGGTCCAAGCCATGCCTGCACAGGTCACTGCCACACCTATACACTGGCACACTTCTGGACTTCCAAGGTTCCTGCTGGGGTTTGCAACTACCCCAGGGCTCTCTTGGCAGAAGCCCTCCAGTTTTTTGCTGCTTTGGGTCAAAGCCCTGCAGGGGACATGTTTCTGGTTGCCCTGGGAGGGTGAGGCTTGTTGTCTGTGCTGGTACCGACTTTACTGGCAAGTTCCTTTTGCTGTTGTCCAGGAGTTACTGGTTCACTTTTTGTGAAGTTCTGGGGTAGGAGTTCTTAGTGTAGCTTCTTGATCATTATTCAGGCATGAATTTCGGGGTTGTGCTAGATGAGGTAAGGAGAAGATGGGCAAACCTGCTCCGTTCAGGCAGCCATCCTCGCCCTCCAGCACTCCTGAGCATCCCTGATTAATTCACGGTGCTTCTTGGGCACATGTCATGGTCAGTAATACTCTGCAGCCTCCTGCTATTCTCCACGTGTGTCACGATTACCCTCTGGGTCATTAAAAGGATGAGTTTTTGTATTAGGGAGCAGCCTGTGATTACAGAAAGCAGCATCTTACTTTCCAAATGCAATCCAGTCCATTCTCTTCTGTTTCATTCTGGGCCCAGGTCAACGTCCAAAGTTTACATGCTGGCTCACAGGATATGGACTGCAGGGCTAGATGGAAGGCACATCTAACTGCACATCATAATTTGGAAAATGTGTAATTTGACATCTACCTAGATGACTGTGCATAACCTGTTAGGCTGATCTCTTTGGAGTGGTCTTGGACCTCCTAAAGGAGCCCCCCCCCATACAATGTAAGCCACAATCAGAAGCAGTAGGGGGATTTCTTCATCTATGGTAAATTGGTTCACATGGACTGAGCAGGCCCTCCTCTATGAGAATAGTAAACCCCTTTAAGAAGCATGTGTCTCCATTTAATTCCTCATTTAATATTGGTAATCAGGGGCAATGAACAGAGTTATCTCTGTGGTTGCATCTATCATGGACTCTTCTCCATGCTCTTAACATATGCAGGGAAAAGACCCTGTTAGACAAAGGAGGCCTTTAAAGCTACATTTTGCTCCACTGTGTTTTGATTTTGAAATCAAAGAACAGCAAGACCTTATGTTTTCTTTGTGCCTTTCAGTCAACTGTGCAAACACACAGATGTGATTTGCTGGAGAAAATAACCTGCAAAAGCCTTCTTGTTT